AACCCAAAAAACATATGACCCCCTATGAGCAAGCACTTTGGCGACAGTGGGAAGGAAAAACTCCCTTTTAACAGGAAGAAACCTCCAGCAGAATCAGGTTCAGGGAGGGGCGGACTTCAAATACATTTACAGCCCCTGGTAAAATTTCTGAAGTTGATATAAGTTTTATATACCTTTCCTGAGTTGATGCACTTTTCCTGAAGGAAATTTTTTAACAATGATTGCTCTGTGACAAGATCCTGTAAAATTATTTTGCTATTGCAAACCTAATTTCTAACCAGGCAATGAGAAAAATATTCTAATATGCAGTGTACACCTGTGCATAAACTGTTTGGGTAATGATTAACACCTGCCTTGGTCAGTGATATTAGATAAAAATGGATACTGTAAATTATTTTGCTGTGCAATTTATTTTTTCAAGACAAAATATTTTTTCCTGTTCTGTTGCTTCGACCATCCACCTCTGTGATCTGCCCTTACGTTTTCCTTTTATGATATTATTGGCTTTATGTGCTCTAAATTTTAATCACAGCTGATCGGGAACAACCAACATTTTGCCAAACTCAATGGTGGTGTTCGTCCTTGAAGGAGCTGTATGAACCTTTCTATTGTTTCACCTGACTGCTCTCTTGTTAGGTCCATTCTTGCTTTACATCCGCCAGGCAGTAGAGCTTCATAAGGTCTGCAAAACTCTCTTTAATAACACACTATTTTGCATATTTAGATGTGTGGAGATTTGTTTTAGTAATCCAAATTACAATGTGATTACACGTTTTGTTTGTCTTCAACACTGAGTGATTCCATAAAACACTCCTCTACTTTATATGGAAAAAAGTCTGCTATAAATAAAAATAACTGAATAATTCTTTGAATACAGTTTTATACAGTGTTATGTCACACATGTGATTTGTATGTTTGCTACAAATGAAAAGAGTTGAAAAAAAAAAAGCTTCCAAGAGTGGTGATTCAAGAAACTTTTGTAGTATGAAAGTGTAGCATGACTCATTTCTGGGAAAATTTGAAGCAAAATAATGGATGAAAATGATGTAATTGAAAAACTGTCATAACTTTTTATTGTTTAAAAGGGTATCTGTACTGATGCAGTGTGACTTGTATGAAGAAGAATTAATTTACCTGAGCTGTGAGATATAAGGCAGACACTGCAGGAAACTCCTCACTTCACTCTCTTCATGTGAGCAGCCTGTCAGCTCCACTTGTTTCTTCTCTGGTTGGAGTTTCAGCACTTCCAGGAGGATGGAGGTCTTTCTCTCTGAGAGGTTTATGGACCAGACTGCAGGAGTGGACTGGAAAACTAACTGTAAGGATGGAAGGACACTCAAGCCTGTTTTAATCTCAAATTCCTTCACATGGGAGTACAGATCCAGCAGGAAATCAATCTCAACGTCTTCGGCTTCAATATCATCCATGTAGCTCTCATGAAAAGGGAATGTTTGATATGTGCACACTGATGATAACAGCTCCAGTATCTTCTCTCCTGTCTGCTGTTCTCTCTCTGCTGCTGCACAGAACAGATTCGCAAAGAACCTGACTGCTTCATGAAGACGTGACCTATCAGTATCAACACTGGAACAATAAGAAGGAAACATTTAGTGATGATTTGATCTGAGCTGCATAAATACAACCACACACTACTGATGGACTCCATCTTGTCCATGTGTGTCCTGTATATAATGAAAGTCCATTTTAAAGCCATCTTCCATCAGAGCGGCTGAACATTGTTTTTAGACTGTTACTGACTCACAACACAAACACTAATCCTGTGTGTGAAATCACTGCGTACTGAACTGTAACTGTCATTTTATTTACTGTCTGACTTTAGAGAGTAAAACACTAAATATCAACAACATAGAAACACACAGAGTGGAACAACAACATCTACACTTCATATCGTGTACAACAGCAGCTTCACCTGCTGCTCAGATCACACACCTGGAAATCACACTTATTCTGCACATCTTCATGTGTTACAGGATTAAATTTTAGGGGGTGGCTGTAGCTCAGGCGGTAGAGTTGGTTATCTACTAATTGGTAAGTTGGGGGTTCGATCCTCCAGTCTGCATGCCAAGTATCCTTGGGCAAGTTACTAACCCCAAGTTGATCTCCAATGCATCCATCGGAGCATGAATGTGTGTGAATGTAGTTAGACAGCACTCAGTTTACAGTCAGTGATTGTGAGATTGGGTGACTGTGACATGTTGTATAGAACGTTTTGAGTACTCCGGGAGAGTAGAAAAGAGCTATATAAGAATGAGTCCATTTACCAAGATATAACTAGTTCACACATAGTAACAGCTCTTTTCTTTTGTATGAACTTGAATCTGACATGATATTCAAAAATCCATCAGCAATAGTGATTTACAGTGTTTCTGAACATTCAAGAATTATTTGTATCTTTCATGATGATGTTTCAACATGACTGTGTTGTTGTTACTGAGCTACATTTTTCTCATTAATCGCATTATTTCAAACATTTTCATACGGGGAGAAGATTATCACGTTTCAGACTCTTTCAGTCAAATATTTCAAACAATAAAATCTGTGTACTCCACACTCTTCTGTGATTCATTTGTTCAGTCACACAGGGACTTTCATTAACTTAGATTAGCTGGTAACAACTCACTGAAACACAACTGATTTTAAACATTCAAAGTATATTACTGATTACAACTATAAAATTAAATAAATTAAATAAAACAATATTTTGAAAATAAAAGATTACTTTTTTATGTATGGTTGAAGAATATGTCATAAGGATTCAGTTGTTTTGAACTGATCACACATACATCTATAATATCAGTTTCAAAGCAACAAAGTACTGACAATAATTAAATAAGCACAGTGCTGTGAAGAAAACAATGTTTCCCTCTGATATTAGGTACAGTAGAAGTATAACTGAAATATGGACTCCAAGTGGATGAAATCAAAATGTGTAAACAGAAATATTGGTGACAAAAAGATAATATTAAAATATTAAATTGTATCATTACAGTAAATTGTTGGAAATTTAAATATTTTTCCACTGAGTGAGTTCATTTACCTGAGCTGTGAGATATAAGGCAGACATTGAAGGAAACTCCTCACTTCACTCTCTTCAGTTGAGCAGCCTGTCAGCTCCACTTGTTTCTTCTCTGGTTGGAGTTTCAGCACTTCCAGGAGGATGGAGGTCTTTCTCTCTGAGAGGTTTATGGACC